CTTTCTGGTGCAAATTCGATACTCACTCAATTTGAAATCAGTCAAACGCATAGTCGACATGTTTAAGTAGTCGAGACGGATCGTTCAGCTGAAGCATATGTACTTGGTTTATTGCTTCAATCAAGCTGGTAATATCTACATGAATTTCATGAAACCGTCTTTATCCACGCACTTGCAGACAACATCATTTACAAGTCATCGATCAAGGGGCTGAGGCCCTGCGCAGTGCCAAGGCGGTCCTCGAGCCAGAAGCGGAGTCTCTCAACAGCCGCGCGGTCAGACATCCACTTGCCAAAGGCGGTAGGGTCGGTACCGGGCATATCGAGGATGGCAGGGTAGTTGGCGGGGGGAGCGACGTCGCCGCGGACGCTCCATCCTCCGCGGGCGGTCTGGAACTCGGAGCTGAGGAGGTAGGCGTGCAGGAGCTTGGCACCCTCGGGGTGAGGGGCGTCCTTGAGGATTCCGCCGGTCTGGGGCCAAGAGACGAATTGGCCCTCGATGGGGTGGGAGACGTTGATGGGCGCGGTAGGAGTCAGGCTGCCGGAGGAGGTGAAGGTGGCTCCCCACTGGGTGCCGTTCTGGCCGAGGATGGTGCGGGGGGTCTGAGTACCGCGGACCCAGCGGGGGTTCAGGGCGATGAGCTTGTCGAGCCAGGCGGATCCGTATTGCTTGAGACTAAGTTGCGTTGTCAGAACTGAGTGCTGACAGTAAGCTAGAGGTATTGTGACTTACATGAGATCAAAGGCAAAGAGGACGGCATCGTCGTCGTTAGGGTAGGTCAGGACGAGCTTGTCCTTGAGGTCGGGATTGACCCAGTCCTCCCACTCGATAGGAGCCTTGATGCCGGGAAGCTTTCCAGTGTGCCACTGACCAGCCCAGGCAATGATGTACATGCCATAGTATGCGGCGGTCTCGTTGTTTTTGAACTCAGGGAGAATCTGGTCGTATCCGAGAGGAGCGTAGTCCAAGAGCGCACCCTCAGACGCCCAGCGAGGGTAGTCGTGGAGGGTCTGGAGGATGATGCTGTCGACAAAGACGTTCTTGGCGGCAAGCTGGTCGTCCAAGTTACCGTCATGGTACTTGGAAAGATCGACGGTGACGTTGAGGGTCATGCCGGGAAACTTCTTCTCGAAGCTGGCCTTCACAGAGTTCTGCTGAGTCAACTCATCACCACCGTGCCAGAGAGTAACAACACCACCCTCAGCAAGGGCAGCTTGGTAAATCTCATCGATAGTGCGGGTCTCAACTTCGGCAGCGGCGTTGACCAGTGCCTGAGTGCCCAGAAGGGCGAGGGCAAGCAATGAGCGAACCATAATGACGGACTAGAACTAATCGGAAGAAAGAAAGAATGTGTGAAAAGCCGTTGATGAGCCACTTACACAATTGAGCTGTACGATCCTTCTTCCTCCTTCTTATACAACGGCGCGTAAATACACCTCCGCCCCTTTTCCTTTCGACTCACAAAGGGCCCGTAGGCCAGTGACACCATCTCATGATACCTTCCTAGAACCAGGCCCCAACCAACAGCCATGCTACACAAATATCCATGTTGTAGAGAACTGCTAGCGAAGTCTACCGCGCGCTTCATGACGAAAGCAGCGGGAGGTGCCGTTGACAGATGAGACGATCCACGAGCGTCCTTCCAGATTGGTCCACCCGTCCCATCCTTAGTTCCTGGTTTAGTATTGATGGATGTATTTACAACGTACAGGCCAGCATAAGTGTAGACGGCGGTATGGCGTACAGACTACAGAGTAGTAGCATGTGCGGGATAAAGCCGCTCCAAGCCTTTGAACGAGTCAAGTCTCGTGCCCCCCACGGAGCTTGTATCCAATCCGGAGGCTCGTCCGATGAGCATCCCATCGGAGGACTCCGGCGTCGGTGGGATGGCGGAGTGGAAGTCTCCACCGAAAACCCAAGGAACCAACCAAGAAGCTGATTTGACCGGGATCTTCCCATTCGCCATCAGGGGTATAGCGGAAGGTATTTGATTCCGGCTCAATGGATCCAGCAAACAAGCAAGAATTGGGCTGGATCATGGGGTGGAAGGAAATAAGAAATGTACAGCCCCGTTCATGTCAGCGTACCGCAGCAGCCAGGGCAATGGCGACCAGGGCTATGCGAGAATGAGGTGATCTGCGCCCAGATCTCGCATGAGTCGTGAGTTTAGCCTGTGCTAAACATGCTTAAATGACAGTTTTCAAGGTGATGAGAAATGGTGACAGCACAGAGTTGGATCGCCTAGTCTTTCGTGGAAGCCACTTTTGGAATCTAACTGAGTTAAGTGCGACGATGTTAATTGACAAACAGTACAATATTCGGCAAACCAATGTCATAATGATCAATTTGAGGATTCCTTCAGCAACATAGCGAAAAGCAAATATTTTGTTCTCCCCTTATCTTTCTCACCTTCTGATATGGCATGCAAAACTCCGCCACAGGCCTCGTGAAAATCTTTACTGAAAGCCGGGTCTGAAGCGGATCGTTGGCATTTCATTCGGAATATCGGCACCGAGCTCCACCTCAAGTCCGTCACGACATGAAGGCCATGATTCGAGTTTCATATGAATTGCCAATATTCAGCCTGGCTCGGAATCGAAGACTAATCATGGAGTGCACTCTGCTAGTTGCACCGTACAGGAGTCGCTCATGTACGTGTGTGTCGGATTACGCTATGTTTCACCACTCTGCTCCGTGATATGTGGAACGTAATAACCATCGAGAGCTGTCAGTTTACGTGCCCGTTTTCGGTATCGCGTTCATGCAGCCCCGGTAGTCTGATGATCGTCATGCTAAGCCCGGTTTTGCCGATCTCAATCTAGTAAAGCCTACGACCCCGTTGTTGTCTACGAGTCAGTCTTGAGTACCTTTAAAGGTGCAAAGAGACTGGATGCGAAGATGCGTTCTGTCTCAATCAAGTTCTAAGTCTACTCCCGATCGTGGTATAGGCATTGTAATTTAGTTATTAACATAAGGTTACTTTTTGGGTGACCTTCTACCTGGCACCACCAGGTCTGACAAGATTGAACATGAGTAAGGAGTTATAAAGGGCTGTATGACAATGAGTGATTTCGGGCAATGGTCGTTCATCTTGGCTGGGCGTAGATTCTCTTCGATCATACAACACAAGCATGCTGTCGTAAGGCAAGCAACTCAGAGGAGCACTTGAGAAAGCCAGTTGGAACCCACCAGCATAGTTGAGTCAAAGAGACTGCACAAATTGACAACGTCCAGACGTATCTAAAGTCACTCCGTCATGAGCCCACCCCTGCGTTGCGAAACATATTCCCAAACGAAAATTATTTTGTCTTATCTGTTTGAGGGAGCACTAGGTGTTGAGGCTTCATTCATGGCTCATTCTGTAGGTATAGGTAGAAAACTCACTTAATAACGTTCTGTCGATGTCAAGATTTCTGTCTACCCGACCTATGTATAGCTAACTGCATTGCTGGCAGCCAATTCCGTAGTTAATGGCGTCTGTTGAGTGCACCAATTACGGGGACAATTGTATAGGACCTGGCATGACCCAGAACTTGCCTATCGCTGAACGTCGAACAGCAAACTTTGAAGAAAAGCCCCGCCGTCAATCTGCTTGATTCTGTAAGACCTGGGTGGTTATCGTCTGTGCCCAATTGGTACGACGTATGTATTGACAGAACTTATTGTGATGAGAACGGAAACTTCCAACACTGGAGGTCCTCATTTCTCAAGGAAACAGATGATCAATGCCAGCCGAAAGCCCAGGAGCCTGTCAAATGTCGCGATCGTGCCCCGTCAGTTAGCTCTCAAAGTACGCAACTATTCATGCATCGGCAGCACGAGGATAAAAGCACAGCCACAATTAGCGACGCCAAGGCCAACGAAACGGCAAGAATACGCTGACAGTCACACAAGATGCAACAAGAAGCTTTGGTAAGCATTGAATATGCGACGCAAGTTCAGCCTTGACAGTGGGGTCACCCCTGAACTATTCATGCAATCCCGCGTAAAGCTCGGTCGAAAGGCAGAAACTGGCGAACGCTAAAAGCTTCCGTCCTGACCACAGGGCTGATGGTGGTTGAGGAATAACCCTGCTGATACGTAACGGCCCGGCCCCGACCTCATTGGGCTTTCCTCGTTGGGTTCAGTGTTCAGTCTCAGCTGCGTTGCAACTGACTTACACTTTTTGCCTTTCTACGCCCTTGTCCTGTAGGATTTTGCGCTAGGTTCGTCGTTAGGTTGCTCTGTACGCCCGTTGCCTGGGTCTGTAAACCACCTCTCAGTATTACAAGGCAGCGTAAGTGGGTAAATGGCGATGGGAAGATGGTGGTTCTTGTAGTTGATATTCTTCAGTTCAATTGCTAGGCAAGGAGTCTCCGTGAGGTTACCTCCGCTGGTGCCTACCCCCATATTGCCGGCTCCAGAGATTTTGGCAGATGTTACTAGAGCGAGCAAGACTAATTTGGAGCATCTGACAACATCGCTCATATTCATTTGCTTGATCAAGGTCTTGTAGATAAACACAGCCATGGTATCTTGGTACACGCGGTCGATTGTGGCTGGCTAGGCTTGAGATGCACAGCTTACGGATAGATGCGGCTTGACTGACAAGTCTGGAACTCTGACTTGAAAATCTTTTAGAATTCATAAACACTTGTCATTTTCATCACTCCAGAAGATAAAAATTCAAAACTTTCATTAGATAAGAATAGTTGAGATGCTACGAGTTCCAATATCGCACTGTCACAGGGGACTCGCTACGGTGGGGCTGTCGTTCACGAAGTACTCGAGGACGAATACGAAAGTGTTCGATTCGATTACATGATCCTCCTCTTTCGAGCTGTTTTCTTCCTCCCCGCCACCCTATCACCACGTTCACATCACCCCCCCCCCCCTACCCACGAATTCCTTGCACGTATCATAGTGACAATTTCTTTCACCATCCACGTCTCCCCCAGTCCACCAGAACCCGTATTTCTCGCCGCGATACCCAGCACGGCCGTCATACTGATCCTGCTCCTCTATGCTGAGAACGTCGCAATAGCGCTATCCAAAGCCTCCGCAAGTTGACCAGTGCTCTGTTGCGCAATCGGGCGGGCGATGGCAGGGACCTTGCCGAGTAGGGTGTCACCGAGCGCGCCACTGCCAGTCTTTTGTTGCATAAGAGCATCCTTAACGACGGAACTGACACCAAGCTGATCGAACACGGGTTTCTTCTGCGAGAGGTCGCCGAGGGTAGTCTGGACCTGCGTGACGAGGTCGCCGGCAGTCTGCTGGAGGCCAAGTGCGCCAAAGAGACCAACGCTGTCGGCACTGTCGATCATGGAGGTGGCCTTTGTAAGAGCATCTTGAGAACCTTGAGCCGCGGTGAGAACAGGAGCCACAGAGTTGGCGTCGTTGGCGGAGATTCCCTTGACGGCGGTATCGAGCTTCTGGAGAGAGGTCTGGACCATGCCGAGAGCGGTGGTGATGGTATCCTTTTGGCGAGCGACGAGGAGAGGAGCAGCGGTGATCGCCCACGCCTGGAGGGCGACAAGAAGAACCTGAAAGCCGAGCATTTTGGAAAAAGTGAAGATATTAAGATAAGACTAGAGAGGACGTGTGATGGAATACAGGATTCGGAGATCGTTGGTAGGTAGAGATGAGCTTGAATAGTGGAGAGAACGACAACGACTTCCAAACCAAAATCGGAAATGGTGTGCGGCTCTTAGTTCGATTTTATCAATATCTGGGGTAGACTACCCAAGGCCTATTCAGCGTTTGTTTTCTCCCATCACTTTCCATTTCGGGACACACTGGGGGGCGTTGAAGCTTTCCTGTGTTGAATGTGTGTGGTCTACAACTACTTTTCTCCTTCAGCCTTCCTCTTTGGGTTATGAGACGCAAAGGAGGTTCTTGGTGGTTCACCCTGACCGCATGGGGGTCCTAAAATGGTACTTGCTTGGGACGGCTTGACACGCTTGCGTCCATGTAGCTGTAGCCGTAAACCGGCTCCGGGCGCCCACCAACCGCCACTGTCTAGGAGGGAGGGAAGCGTTATAACTCGTCCGAGTTGTGGATTACTCCAGATGCGTGGGATGACATGTCGATCTCGAAGGATCAACCCTGGCATCATGGGGGGAGATTGAGTGGGCTCGCTGAGCCGCCGTTGGCCCTACATCTGGCTTCCAGGGAACTATCGCGATAAGCTCATGAACTGGGTGCTTAGTGGACTGCGGGGTGAGCCAATGAACTCAAGCCTCTCGGAACTTTCCTAGCGGTGACCCCCATGGGTAATGTCTGTTCCTCCAAGGGGAAGCACAGGCACGACGGTGATCAGCCCAGGCAAGCCGTTGGACTTTGGAGCCAGTATGGTTTTAGTATCAAAGCTGAAACGCTTTGTTGCGCGGACCGGCCGTCGTTCAGTCGAAACACCCAACAGAGTTGTGTTGGTGATGCGCCAATCGCAATTCACCAAAGCGCCCAATTAGCCAGTCATTGAGTAGTCACGTCAACTAAACGCCAGCAAGCTGCCAAACTGCCAGAAAAAAACCTGACCGGATGGTCCCTCGGCAAGCCTTCACGATGATGACGCTCGTGATTGTCGGCTGCGCCTGTCAAGATGGAAATGGGAAATGGGTGTAGTGTCCCGCCGAGCTGCCGATTGCCGGTTTGGAACTCTCAGCCCTGCCCATTCGCACTCGCTTAACTGCCTTGACAAGCTGGCAGCCCAGAAACAGGTGGTCTTGACTGGGCCGACTCACCTGATATATGTTCAAACGGTCTGCCGGCCTTAGATGTGGGCTTTCAACGGCTCTGCTCCGGACATCCCATCTATTACCTCATTAGGGTAGGCTTTGTATGTACGCTTGGATCGGGTAGCCTTCCCGCCCCATCAGGCAAGGGGGACCGGCATTTGTTCTACGCCCTATGAAGAGCCATATGCGGCATGGAAGATCAACCGGCACGGGTACTGAAAAAGCTTATTGTCGGCGAACGGTTTGTAGATCGGGAGGCCTTGCAGCCTGCAGGACATCACACCAGCCTAGACGGGTAGTCTCATGCTAGAATATGTGAAGAAGCCTGCAGAGACGGCGCCACCCATGCAGGCTTCGTGAGGCTTGGCTTCTCCTTAGCTGTCGCAGCTATGCACACAATGTGGAAATATCGATGGTGTTTTCCCCCGGATCTTGATCTTCCACAATTGTGGTCATATCAGACGGCCTTCCCCACACGAGTTAGACGACTTGTAGTGTCAAACGAACGGCTCGGATTCGGATGGCTTGCAAGATCCCTTGCATTAGAACACTTCAGCATAGCTTATATGCCAAGAGATGGTACTCTGTAGTTGACTTTCCGCACTTCACTTGATAGTATTGTGATTTATCCTATTGTTCCTGCTAAACTTTTGGGAAAGCGATCTCTTGCCCAAGTGTCCTGACTGCTGGCCAAACAGTGACATGTCGAAAGGGTCTAGTTCTGACATGCGCTCGGAGGTATTTCTTTAAGCCAATAAATGATACGAGCCTATCTACAGCGCTAACAGACCAGCTTCCTCTGAGTTGGGGAAGTGTTAACGACTGTGAAGCAGTCAAGTGGCCGAATACCATATTGGCCTTGAGATTTATCGCCGATAAGCCTACTTACCACTAACAAATACCCGTCAGGGGACGGTCACTAATGCCCTCCCGTCGGGAGAGCCATCGGGTCATTCTTTCAAAGAACTTCCTGCCTCCAAGAAAGGCTGTGAATCGGCCCGATGAAGGGCAGTGGACTCATATCATGAGAGTGATTGCACCCAGTCTCATCTTCTCTGTTTTAACGCGGGAGCCGTATGGACGAAAGAGGAAATTGTATCCAAGCTGCCCCATCACCCAAACTGTAACACACAGTTTAACGCCGCCGCCCAGGCTTCTAACCTTCTCCCCTTCTGGTGACGCGAGAATTTTGACGTTATCTGCCCGGCGAGTCGTGTCAACTGAACCAAACACCCTGCGCTGGAGCTTTCCGAGCTTGACCTTTCGATCTAGCACCCGTTCTGACAGGTCGATATCAAACGGCTCTCGGACGTTCCGGAAATCAAAATTGGCCTTGCCCCATGTTCTCGGGTGCTTTCATTTCTTCTCCAGCCTAGGAGGTCACCTCACCTAAACTTTCAGTCTTCCTTCCCTTGAGAAAATCTGAACCACGACGATGGGTCAGAGGAAACCGACATCGAACTGATTGCATCCATCCTCAGACAAGACAGGCGAGTCAACTCATGAAAAGCGGCTGTAGTGTCTGAATCATCGCATTCGCACAACAACTGAGCCGCAACATCTGGACCCGAAACAAGGTCCCTGATAGGTGTTTCTGCCGCCATAGAGAAGCACGGAACTGTCCCAGGAGACACATCCACACTATCTGACACAGCCTCCGAGTCGTGTTGTCCGGCGTGTGGAGGTTGATGAAGCGGGTGAACCACATGACCAATTAAATCAGCTCTGTCGGGACCAGAACCTGCCAGCCGGAAACTGGGCAGAAATAATCTCGACCCCGGTTCTGGGTCTTCAGACACAAAGGTTTACGAGTGAACAGGTGACTGGATGACGGGAGTTTCTCCCCGGAACTTCAATGGATGCGTTGCTCTGCGACAAGGGGCAACTTTGTCGACTAGTACCAACTTTGAAGCCTGCATGGACAAGTGAGGTGTGCGAAGCAGTTCGTAACACAACATGACAGGAAACGGTGCACTAACAATGGTCTCTACAGAGCGAAGTGTTTTTCTGCCTTCTGTCTTTTGAACGGGCTACTCTTGACCCGAAGATGCCACTCATCTTATTAGGCTGAGAGTTTACGTTTACCTTTAATGTGCTTAGAAAGATTGATAGTGAAGCCGCAATGTGCGTAAGAGCACGATTACTCCATAAGCTTGGCGAACAAACAACGGCAGCAGTTGCGAGCTCAGGGAACGAAGATAAATAAGTTCCTAAGTGAGGAAATGAGAGGACTGGCAGATAACTTACGCTCCGACAACACGCATCGGCTTGCAAACTCACTGGTTGAATTCTACTCCTGTGATGCCCAAAAACCGGTTTTGAGGAATACCAAGAATCTGTGGGTTCCAATAAGTTTTCCCGCGCGTTTAATCCTCTGCGAGCTTTTCTTTTGGTTTGCTTTCCAGTAAACTTTCAACCCGTCGCTAATCATTACAGAACTTTGTCCCGACTCCCCACAAACATGGCTCTCCAAAACTTTCCAAGCCGTCAACTCATTGTTCATTCCATAACACTCAAGTGCCAAGGAACCCTGCAAGTGCCTTTCTTTACCATTACTCAAAATCATCGTGAACTTCACTCCCCACAACCAGCCGCCTACTTCTCAACGCCTTTGCCGACGATACCCGGCACCCAATTTTGCTCGCACACCGCATGTCCTCTCCACTAACAGTTCCACAGAGACCCCTCCTCCTATCCAAATCCATCCATATTTCCTCATTCGGCGCAGGTCTGCATCAATCATCGGGCGCTTGGTCTAGGGGTATGATTTTCGCTTCGCATCTACATCTTAGCATCCTTCGTGAGCTTCAGTTGCGCAATCTGTGAAAGGTCGTGGGTTCAATTCCCACAGTGTCCAATTGTTTTGCCATGTTTGATTGTGGGGCATCGCTTTTGCTTCTGGAGTGAAATTGAGTTGACTTGAACCCATTCTGAGTCTACTTCGGGCGCGATTTGAGGGTTCATGGCGGTATGTTCGCATTGAAGCAAGAATTGACGCACAGTGATTGTGGTTCCTCAAGACCGCTTCAATAGATGTTGCCTTTTTGGCATCTTGAGTTCTTTCAGAGTTTTGTCCATTGTGGGGCGGGTTTGATGCATATACGCTATTAGCACTTAAACTCATTGACTACCTCGTCAGCATCAAGTTGCTCAAAAGCCTTAGAAATAGGGAGATGATAGCCGTATTTATGCACTAAGGTCTATGGATTCTAGGGTACTCATTCGTCTTTTTGGTATTGCCCTACTATGAAATACCTCCGTGGCTTACTGGATATTGGGTGAGGGGATTCCCGACGTGCTCAGATCATCCACGCACGTGTGAGGAATGTAGTCTTCAGAACAAGTGCTACGGCGTTGCTTCTTGTCTTTCGTAGGCTTCGATAGCACCATAGCCTGATAGACGGCGTCGGGTTCCGGCTCTGAGAGGCAATCCACACCAGAACCACCAGTTCCCGCCGCTGGCCGGCTTGCACCAAGTTCTCCGCCAGCCTTTCCGGTAACCTCATCGTCAACTTCGGATGGCGCTGGTGCGCGGGTTGTACGGCTACTACTTGGTGTTCTCTGAAAAACAGAACTGATCTTTCGGGTGATCTGCTGCATGAACCCTGGTTCTGGTTTGCGAGTGTCTTGTACCAAAGGCTCTGCGAAATGGGCAGAGCGCCGCCTGGTATTCTTGGCCAATTCGCCGGGTGCCTTGTTTTCGCCGCATGCATGCGAGTCTGACAAGGCCTCGGAGTCTCGGTGAGAGGGCTTGTTTTTGATACTCGCAGGATCATCCAAGGGGAGATTTACCTCGTGGCTCATAGAACGGTCGGAATCTC